TTTTTTTAAACTGAGTCTCATTACTTTGTCACCCTTGGTAGAATGCTGTAGCAGCACAGTTCACCACAACCTCAAACTCCTGGGCTTAAGTGATTCTCTTGCCTCAGCCTCCCAAGTAACTTTATTCTGAAGACGCTGAGAGCCATGAGGGTTTTGAATAGAACATGATTTTATTTTTTATTATTTTTTTCTGTTTCTGAGAAAGAGTCTCAGTATGTCGCCCTTGATAGAGTGCTGTGGTGTCACAGCTCACATCAACCTCAAACTCTTGGGCTTAATTGATTCTCTTGCCTCAGCTTCCCAAGTAGCTGGAACTACAGATGCTGGCCACAATGCTTGGCTATTTTTAGAGATGAGGTCTTGTTCTGGTTCATGCTGATCTCAAACCTGTGAGCTCAATCTACCCGTCTTGGCCTCCCAAGTGCTAGGATTACAGGTGTGAGCCACCTCGACAGGCCTGAGGAAGTTCTTATAAGAGTAATTTGTGTAAACAGAGACAATATCAATAACATTTCATGGCATAGTCAGGTACAAAGAAATGTCATGTACAGAAAGGGAATGAAATTTTGGTACTACACAGTTACCAGACAGGTAGAAGTCAAGCCAAGTGAATCTATTATGTTAGGCTTATTACAAGACTAATAATAAACCAGGTGGGATTTACTAGGCTTACTGTGAGACTGATCCCAAACTCTTAATCTTTTGGGCAGAATGACAATGGGAGGGAAGTAGGCATGTACTCAGCCCATAGCACCTACCTGGCAAACTGGGGAAGGAAGCAGTACCTATGGTCCAGATATAAGGACAGAGCTGCTCCTTTGGAAAAGGAGAAAGACAGAACCTAATCCAGGGCACAAGAGTAAGTATGAGAGCCTTACCCATGGAGGATGTAAGTGCAAAGTTCTCCAACATCACATCAAAGTACAGGTGTTTCTGAGCTTCATCAAGGAGATCCCATTCTTCCCAGGAGAAGTATACAGCCACGTCTTCAAAGGTCACACTGGCCTGGCATGACAGGGACTGATGAAATCATGAATAGTCTCATTCTGGAAGACTCACAATCTATGGCCCCCCCACCCCAGTCTACCACCATGCTCTCCTCCTCCCAAGCCCCCCAACTCAGAGGAGACACTAGACTGTTGCGGCACTGGCATGTGGCTCTCTCTTCACATTCCCACTGGACACTGTGTTCATTCTGTTTTCCACTCTGAAACACTTGTGTAAGATAACCTTCCTCCTCTGATCCCAAATTCCCACTTCCTTCACAACAGACCCCAAGCTTTACAGGCACTGCCTGGAGTTTGTTACCACTAGAAACCAGCTCAGCCTCACCTTGAAGCAGTTCCACATGCGTGTACCTGTTCCTATCATAAGCTTCTACATCTCTTTCCAATGGTTGCCCCAAATGGAAATACATCACTATAACTACTGGACTCAGGACCCTGAGCTTGGGGATTCTCCAAGATTCCCAGACCTAAGGGCTTAGAGAATGGTAGGTGAAGAGTCCCATAACATTACAAATTCAGAGAAAATGTGATTGGGTTTCCAGACCAGTCAGGGGTTGGGATACCCTCCACTTACCTGTGTAAGTTTCAAAAGCACTTCTGCAGCCATGGGAACCTGTGGAAAGAGGTAGGCCCTAAACGGATATGATCATGGTGATCCCCTGCCCCAGAATCAGGAAACTTCGGATTGCCTGTCTAACCTCTGTGGCCTCAGTCCCTACTGCTGCCTCTTACTAGTATTGTGACCTTGGAAATATAGCCTCCTTCTGCCTCAATGTCTTCATAACCCTCTCTAGCAGATTGAAAAACACTGCTCTAGAATCTGTTCTGCCAATGAACAGACTTCGGAGGGCTCTTCAAACCCCGCTCAGATCGTGTCTTTCATCCGCTCAAAACTCTCCATGGCGCTCATCTCCCTAAGAATAAGATCCACCTCCTCAGCCTACTAATGCAGGTGCGAAACTATCTTAAATTTTGCTCTCTGCAATAACAACGTGTAACCCAGGTTTCCCAAATCCTCCGGGCTCAGTCGCACCTCCGACCCTTGGCTCACGCCGGTCCCTCTGCTTGTCACGCTTTCCCACCCCGCACCGAACTGAACGCCAGAAACCGGGCGTCCATCCGCAAGCGCCTCACTATCGTGGACACCGGAGTCCGGGCTGCAGGAATGTGAGCAGGCGGCCCTGACTGGGGCTTTAGAATTCGGCTCCTAGGGTCAGAGATGGCGGGTGGGGCCCAGAGCACACACACTCACTGGAGCCGGGTTCCTCGGCGCAGCCGCCGCCATCGGTCACTGAACTGATCCGAGTCAGAAGCGGCGGATGACCCGGTGGAGATGCGGGCACAGCGGCTGCCGCCACCATCAACCCTCAGACCCGTCTCTCGCGTCTTCTCGGATCGTTGCTTCGATCCCGATGCAGAATGCGAGAGGGGCTGACCAAGACTGTCCCGAGGGCAGCTAAAATGACCGCTGCTAAGACGCCGGAAGTCCCGGCCCGGGGAATGCGATCCATGGAAAGATCGCTTTCCTGCGTTTTCATTGGATCAACGGACCGCCGCTCCGCGCGCGGCTTTCTGGGTAAGGTAGTCGCCACCACAGCTCCCAGGGCCCAGTAGCGAACTCCCGGTGGGGG